TAGAATTTTATCTAGTTCATCTCTGAACAGATACTCAATGCAGCTGTTAGAGAAAGGATACCATATATATCACATTCCAGAACTCTGCCTTACCAGCCCCTCCAGTCCAGGCATTTGCTACAAAGTGCTCAGGCATGCTACTGCAAAATTCTGCTTTAACATGACTGATACCTTAGGAGTCTTGACAACTTTTCCTTGAAGAGTTTGTGGAAGGCATCTTTTTGTGCGGTATCCTGACTTGGTTCTGGTTGAAGGAGCTGAACTCCTTATGATTTCCTTTTCAGTTTGATTTAAATTAGATTATGTACGTAAATTTTCTCTGCTTTCAGAAAATAGATGTGACTTCTAAATGCTTGGGTTTGGGTTTTATTTTTATTGTGGAGTGTGAAACGATGATTGCAGTTAGTGTTATTAAAAGGCTTTATTAAAAAGAAAAGTTCAACAAGAAAATTCTTGGGTACTATGGTCTGGACTATAAGGCCTGTTGTTCTTCTCTCCCATCTCTGATGTGTGAAGCTGTATTTTCAATATATGTTTTAAGTTAGTATAAAGCTAGTCAAAAGTAGCTGTTGTTCTATTTCCATGCTGCTTCCTTTGTCAAGAATTTGCATGGAGAACTATTTTATAAAACTAATCCAGCTAAAACTAGTGTATAAAGAAAGGTTGACTTTAACCCAGAAGAGACTTGGAATCTGGTTTATTAAGAGATTACACAAACATTTGTGCTGGCAGAAAGGCAGAGACAATGTGTTGTACCTAGGGTAGAGAATTTCATCTTTAAGCTACTTTAATGTGTGACAGTAGCCTGGAGTCATTTGCATATGTGTCCACCTTTCACATTTACATCTGTTGCCTTACTGTTGTGTGTATCTCCCTGTAACTTAAAAGTATTTGAATATCAGTTACCTCTAGGCAATTTGACTGGAATTTTTAGCACTGGAATTGACATGTGTGTTTACAATCACTGGGGAATTTTGGAACTAGGCAAGCTTTTTAAATTTAGCTAGTATGTATCTTAAAACAGTTCTTGAAGCAAGTATAATAGCAACAAAAGAGTCATTGAAGTGTAACCTTCCTTCTGGAGAGTGTCGATAAATACGAGCAGGTGGAATCAAACTGACGTGTGAACATATACTGCTGTTACCCAAAATGGTAACCTTTTTGTAGTGTTCCTGTTAATATAACTATTCTGTTTGCTCAGTAAAGGTTCCAGTAACTCCATCATTGTGTGGTTTGTATAAACAGCAGTGCAGCCTGACTTCTGCTGTAGACCCAACCTTTTCCAACAAAGAAATCATGTTGTTCCAGAAAAGGTACTGAACCATGCCATTTATTTGTCTCAAGTCATATACAAGTATGGCTCTTCTAGATCAAGAGATTCCTGCCCTGTTTGTTATTTACCTTGCTTTGGAAGTTACTGAACCCCCACTGAAACAGATCCTGTGAATGCTGCTTATCCACCGTATAGCAATTTCAGTCACGTTGCTTTAAATCTTTATTTAATTTCACAGAAGCTCTCTGCTGTCTATTTGTTACCTTACAAAAAAAGAGACTGTGTTTATAGCAGTTGACTTATTGCTCTCTGAAACAAGAAGGAAAAATTGAACACATATGACTTTAATAAGCTGACCTTTCTATATTGTGCTGTAAACTTGTCTCCAGTGAGCTCGAAAGCTGTGGGTCATGAAAAAGAGTTCTTGCTTAGAACTGACAGAAAATAAACATGAAGAGTACTTGAAATGGAGTTTATTGCCAGTGAATTAGCGAAGGAAAATGTAGGGGCTTTCAGCAAGCAAACTAGCTGGGCTTTTCATTATGTACTAAACAAAACAACAAAAAAAAACTAAAAAAAAAACCAAAAAATCCTTTTGGACAATCCACTACAACAAAAGAATGATGAAATTAACAGGTTATTTTGTATCTAGAGACAGAATATGAAGGTGCTCTTCATTCAGCTTTTGTATTAGTGTTCTTAGGTAGGTATTAGGTATTTAAACCAGGCTGAGATGTAGAGAGAGAAACAACTTCTTTTTACTATAGCAGATGTTACTGATATAACAGTAACGGAGGAGGGGAGAAGGTATGACCTGGGGGGAAAGACAGGATCTTGTTGGGTTGGGATTTTTCCCAGTACAAAGATGACACAAAGTTACCTCTCACTACAAACCAGACTGGTATGAATATTCTTAGTTCCTTAACTGCAACAACCCTTTTGTTTAAAATTTGAATGTTCACTTAATGTGATAATTGACACCTGTAAATTTTTCACACCTATACGCTTAGGAAAAGAAAATTGCCATTCTGCCAGTGTAAGTCATACCTCTGGAATTTGTTTTAAATATAATGGTGTAGCTGCATCTACAGTTTGGTTGCAAGAGGGCAAGATGATGTGACAGGAAAAATAACAACACCCATGAATATGTGGAAGCCCACTTCTATATGAAGCATACCCTAGATTATCTTAATTTAGGGTACATTTCATTTGAAATATACCAGTTCTGAAAACAGAATCAATGAGGAGTGTGAGCATTCTCAGCTCTTTCAGTGCAAAATCAGTTGTCTTAGCTTAAATCTGTGTTACACTGTTCTCATCCTGTTTTTCTGAGGACAAACATCTTGAATTGTTGTGGAGTTATTCTAGGTAATCTTGCAGTAAATGAGAACATTATCTGTCCTCTTGGCTTAGTTAAACTCCACCGATCTTGTTGCGTAAATCCTATGTATTTTTCCTTTTTTGTCATTTCCCATCTTACCTGCAGTTATCAAAGTGCAGTGACTCATGATATGTGATTTTTGAGAAGTTAGCTTTTGAAATATATGACCTTCCTGATCTTGATTTGCAAGTTATGGTTTTTGCTGCAATAAACATGGAAGGTTTTATTGTGATTAAAGAAGTAGGAAAATATAGTTTACTGTTGTTTAGAAATTGGATTTGACAGAAATTCCTGATGTTGAAAGATTTTTCTGAGTAAAGCTATAGTTGTGTTATGCAATGGCTATGCAGTTGCTATAAAAACATGATGTTTTATTTGCCAGATTTTCCACCTTGCTAGAAGCTTTTTTTAAAATCACATAGCACAGTCAATTGCTGGAAAGGATCAAATAGCTGAAAATGCTAACTTACTCTTTAAAAGTCTTCAGTCTTATCAAGACCTGAGTAGAGTTGAGTTTGAATGGTTTTGATGTTATGCAGCTGCATATAAATAAAGCTCAAGAATAAGTAATAATTAATGTTAAAAAATATTGTAAAACTTACAGGAAAAATACAGGTTTATAAAAATGAATCATGCATACTTAAACTGTGTTTACTGAGTCGGACAGTTAAAGATCCTGTTGACTATGATTTTTCATTTGTATTGTAGCTTAAAATTTTGAGAAGTGGCTTGCATTTGTTGGGTCATTAACATTAGAGATTCATTTCAGTGTACCTTTTTAAAATGGACTGATCTTTCAAAAATGAAACTAAACAATTTGGTTAATGATTATTTCCATTATATGAACAATGATGTTGTGTTATGGTACCTAGCTTTATTCTTTGATCACAACCCTTTTGTACTGTACAAGGCCAAGATGGCTCTACTTCAAAGACTTCAAATCTTAAGTATAAAACAATAAACAAGAAATAAGGAAACAATTAGAGGAGAGGGGTGCTTTCCACTGACATAAGAGACAAAAAAAATTATCTCTGAATGACCATCTGTTTTGATATGCATGATAGAGAAGAGTTTAAAAGAGACTGGTACCTTTTCATTACAGACTTTTATGGGGAGCTCAAAATAAAAATGAAGGAAACTCCATTGGCATAATCTCAAAAGTTGTGTGTTTAAAATTAGGCAGTGAAAACAGGCACATGTTGGAAGGACACTTTGTGCACAAACATTGACACTCTGTTAATAACTGAGAGCAGGCATTGCAGAGATGGACCACAGGTAGTTTTGAAAGCAAAATAATATACATTATATAGTAAGAGTATCAGAAAAGATGTAACATCATAGAGTAGGGTACAGAGGATGACCATATCCTCTGTAATTAAGAAGAAGGCTGCTGAAGGAAAAAAATAATTTTGATCTGCTTGATTGATGGCTAGAGGGGTACATAAGTATGGCAAAAGAAAGACTGACAGTTCAGAACTTAAGAGTATTTCACTTGTCTGTATGGAGTTGTTTGTGAATCAGAGTAGCAGGAGGTGTGAAATGTGGAGAAATGGTCTCCAGAGAACCCTGTACAAATTGGAGGGAGGATTAAGTGATGCTCCAAAGCGTGGAGACACTTGAAGGGGCAATTAGAGAAATAGGGAGAGAAGTAGTAGAGAGCAGGAGTAAACAAAGTTTTCAGGACAATTATGGTTGACTCTTGGGGATGATGAGAACATTGCGTGTTCTGATCTTTGGCCAGGAAAGGGTCATTGAAAACATTGGAGGTGCATTTAAAATGACTGTCAGCTGGAAGTCTGGGTAAAATTGAACAAATCACAAAGATTATATGCAGTGAATTTAAAGATCAAACAAATGTATCACAAAGAAGCAAAGGATGTAGATTTAACTAGAAGAAGAGAAAACATGTATATTGTGAGTAGAAGGAGAGGGTGCTAATGAGGAAGTGCAAAACAGATCCAGAAATAAATAAGATTTCTGGGTCTAGATGAAAAAAACAAGACTCTTGAGTAAGGGAGAAACAAGAAATTTTTTTTAAAATACTTTTTAACCCTATTTTCTTTTGGTAGAAATAGGTCAGATTTTTTTGAAAAATCAAGATAGTTGTAAGTTTAAAGAGTAAGTAAAGAATTGGATAATGGTTCTGAAAGGATATATTATAGTTGAATGCACATTATTTCATAACTCTGGTGAATTCTGCACCTTCTTCTCTTTAACATTGTAGTTACCATGATCAAAATCTGAAGGGAAAAAAAAATCCATTTAGTGTATTTAATTATTAAAATTTTAAGTTAAATTATTTTCTGAAATACTACATTATAATTAATTGCTTGTATTGGTTCACAGAAATTTCAAGACATTGAAGAAATGCACCTTCTTCGTATGAAAGAGATTATAGAATCATTGTCAAATACCATAAAAGAAATTCATTTACAAATAGGAGAGGTAACTTTTATATTGTCATCTGTTTAGATTATGCTGTGTATTTTTCTTAACTATTAAATGGAACATTTCTTACTGTGTTTGTGGTAATTACTAGATCACATCTTTTAAATGATGGTAAATTCAACATAAGCTCAAGTTTTTACATCTTCTTGTTGCATTTATAAGTTCAGTATCAGAAATTTCACAGAATAAGTCTGAATAAATTTTGTCTTAACAGAAAACAAAATTTGACAATTTGAATAATTTTTAGTTTGTTTCAAAGATTTGTTCCCTAGATATTAATTTAGCAGTCATTTCACACATAATCAAGATACTTGTGTGCTTTTTTGACTAAAACTTGAAGTTTTATCACTCTGAAAGGTTTCCTATTTTTTGAAACACGTGTTTTGTGAAAAAAAAAGATCTTCAGTAACAGAAACTTTTTAGTATCTCTTTAGATGTAAATTGGTTTAATCCTTACAAGTACTGCATCATTTTTAGATGTATGGTATAGTTTTATTTGCATACACTTAATTTGAGTCACTGTTTCCCTCAGTTTTGAGGTTTTCTGCTAACGAATAATAGTCACAAAGGTCATGCTATTTCTTCATAAAGCATATGCATACTGCCTTGTTGGAAAGAATTCTTATTAACAACGTGCGGTTCTTCCTTTGTCAGACTGACAACATTATAACAGTAATGCTTTTACTCGAGCAGGTGGAAGCTGTGATAATACAGTAGTAACAGCTCACACCCTTAACTGGTGCTGGCTTAAGATACTACTTGTCTTCCTGACATTGTAGTGGGACATGTTGTTGGCAAATTCAGAAAATTATATATACAAAATCATTTAGATTGAAGAAATGGAAGTAAATCCTAGACCCAGCATCAAGCTGTATTCTTTCGTCCCTAATTTGCATCTGTACTGTATGCACACTTGCTCCTACTAAAACAAAGAAGGAATTTCCTTTATAAAATGCCTGTTGGTTTCTGGAAGCCCTGTAATATATCTTAGAGGGAAGTATTCTGAATGTTAACTCCAGAGAAACAACACTTTTTAAAGTTAATTACAGTCTTTCAATTACTGTTTTTTAAATTCCTTTAATGTGTGGTGTGGTTTTTTTGAAGGTGCACGAAGAGTTTATTAATAACATGACAAATACTACAGTTGAGAGTTTAATACAGAAATTTGCTGAGTCAAAAGGAACTGGCAAGGAAAGACCTGGTAAGAGATTAAAATTAACAGAGTAGGAAATACTAATTTTAAAACTATAGTTTCCACTTCTGATAATAGCTCAAACTCCTGTTTGTTAATGTGTTATATTTTTAATGTACCTAAAATGTCAACAGAATTCATTACTTTGATATTAAATGATTCATAGAAATTTATTAACACACAATTTATTACATACATGTAGTATTTGTGTTTGTAAAGCATACCAGTTTGTAGCTCTGAGTCCATCTATGTAGACTTTTAAGGAAGCTTTTAAACTACTGTTCCTTGGTACATAAGTGAAATTTGTCAAGAAACTGACATCAGCCTGGAACGCTATGCACTTCAAGTCATTCACAGTATTAGTGTGGGTTTTTTGCTGGACAACATAGTAATCATAAGAAAAGTAACACCCCACTTTTTAATTTAGTGAGGGAAGTTATATACACTGTACTTATTTGCTGCTTTATAAAATTCTTCATATCTGTCTAATTTGTACTCTCTAGGGCCAAATAAAAGCTTTTGCCATAGCAAATTTCATTTCTTCAACTCTTTATAGCAAAGTATTCCAAGGAAAGATAGTGTGTTTAGGATGGAAATGTATGCACCTTGAATTTTCTTTTACAGTGTTATATTATTGTACTGATATCAGCTTTGTAAAGTAGTCATGGTGCAGAAGGGAAAGCATAGGCAAATTCAGCAGTTTAGGAAAACAAATTCACAAGAACTTGTAAAGTCTCGAAGATAGGAGACTAGAAACCTAGCCCACTAGTGATGTTTGTTGTAGTTACTGCTTCTGTTATATTCATTTTATTAACTTAGAATTATATAGCTTTGACAAAGTTTTGGAAGGCAGAGTGAGGTATAAGCCTTTTAATAATGAAGTGGAAACATCCAGTGGGGTAAGGACTGCTTTTTAATTGAATTAAAAAATACTTTTCTACATTTGAGAACGGTTGTTAATAGAAAGGTATTTTAACTGATGGAGCAAATTTTGGAAGTCTTTTTCAGTGTGATGCATTTATTAATTAAGCTGGAGAAGGAGATGGCTCCTCAGATAAATATAAATATTCAATGTAAAAATGATACTGACTTGGCGTACAAAACAAACGTGGAAAAGGTGTCATGACTGTCACTGCTTCTTATGATTCCAGTCGTAAATCTGTTTGAAGGAAATATTTAAAATTCCTTGAGACTGTGTAGACCTTCTTCTTTCCATATTATTTGTGGGCTAGTGTAATGGGTTTTTGGAATACTGAATTTTGAGAACAAATTAAACTAAAAAGGTAATGCATAACAAAGTGTTTTAGTTTATTTCAGTATATTCTAGTTATACTTCATTATAGAGTTCACTTGCTTTTTTTCTATCTGTAAAATAAGAATGAATCAAACAAAATTCTGAGGAGGGCTGGACTGTAAACAATTTACTGTAAAGTTTTCTATGTGTGAGCAATTATTTTCTTAAACTTCCATTTGCGTATCTGAAATTTCTCTTTGTACAGTGATGTCCTTTGTACTAGATTATGTGGGCTCCCTCTGGTGTCTAATTTCTGTCAGCTAAAGTCATAATATACAAGGTTTTCTAAAGTTTAACGCTGTTTTTCTCATACAAATAACATTTCTTTCTAGCAGTAATGATTTGTGTAGTTTTTTGACTTCATTTGTGGACTTTTTAGAATGGCTCTTTTTTACCTCCTACCTAAATAACTTATCTACTCAGCTGTATCATCTACTTCTTCTTACTGAATTTACTTTTAATGACTTTTAAATTTTAGTTTACTTTTTTGGTCTACCATTTTTAGTAATACAGTATTAGAAGAAGTTATTGTTTGATTTTTCCCATTCAGTGTAAAAAAAAAAAACAACAAAAACAAAAAACAAACAAACAAAAAAACCCCGAACTCCATATACCTCCAGTTGCAAGTCTTTTCATTTTAGCTGAAGAAAACACATTTAAATATAAAACATTGAAAAACATAAAGAGAGCTAACAGGACCTGCAATAACCAGTAAGGCTTCAGATCTGAATTTGTGTTCTCTGAACCATTTCAGACATTCAGAGAGACCTTGATAGACTTGAGGAGTTGGCCCATGCCAACCTCATGAGATTAAACGATGCCAAGTGCAAGGTCCTGCACCTGAGTCAGGGCAATACCCAGTATCAATACCAGCTAAGGGATGAAAGGATTGAGAGTACTCCTGCAGAGGACTCGAGGGTACTGGAGGATGAAAAGCTGGACATGAGCCAGCAATGTGTGTTCACAGCCCAGAAGGCTGGCTGCATCAAAAGAAGTGTGGCCAGCAGGGTGAGGGAGGTGATCCTGCCCCTCTACTCTGGTGAGACCCCACCTGGAGTACTGCGTCCTGCTCTGAAACCCTCAGCACAGGAAAGACTTGGACGTATTGGAGGACCACAAAAATGATCAAAGGGCTGGAGCACCTCTCCTATGAGGACAGGCTGAGAGAGCTGGGTTTTTTCAGCCTGGAGAAGAGAGGGCTCCAGGCAAACGTTACTGCAGCCTTTCAGTACTTAAAGGGGGCTCATAAGATACATGGATAGAGACTTTTTAATAGGGTCTGTAGTGATAGGACAAGAGGGGAATGGATTTAAACTAAGAGAGTTGAGTCAGGCTAGATACAAGGAAGAATTTTTTTTTTACCATGAGGGTGGTGAAACACTGGAACAGATTGCCCAAAGAGGTGATAGAAGCCCTGTCCCTGGAAACATTCAGGGTCAGGTTGGACAGAGCTCTGAGCAACCTGACCTGGTTGAAGATGACTTTGGTCACTGCAGGAAGTTTGGACTAGACTTTTAAAGGTCCCTTCCGACCCAAACTATTCTATGATTCAATGATATGTTCCTGTTGTTAGGTCTAATGGTAGGTTTGATACCATTGGTTGGAAGATGCTTTTGTCACTCACAAGGTCTGAAGTGTTCTTCAGAACTTGTTGGCCACTCATGTTGAATCAGTCTTCTCTTTGTTGATAGGCTGTTGCTCTGGAAAATTCTTTTATTGCATGGCAGAAAATGTCTGCTTTTCTCCTACCCAAAGTATATGTTAAATCAATAACAGAGATTATGTCTATTCTAGACTAATGACATATCAATGAGTTCTAGCTTTATTTACTTAATCTTCTAATAATCTGCTAAAACTTTGGTTTGTTCCAGTATGAAAAGCTGATGCTGCATGAAATAGAATCTGCTATGAAGTATGAGGTCGTGGTCTTCCTAGGTCTTATGTCTGAAATTAGCAGGATAATCTCTAATGTGTTTGAAGAGATTAGTGAATGCCATTATAGATGTAGTTGGTCATGAATTATTTTTAATTTCTAGATAGTTAATTACTGTTCCCTTTTCTCGTATGTGAAGAACTGTTGTGTGTTTGTCTTTGTATTAATTTTTGCCCATTACACCATTCACGCAGAAGATTCCTTGAAGGCCAAATGAGAAGACTCAGCTGTGCTGCATTGTCCAAAAAAAAGGAACAAAAACCAAATCTAGATAATGTGTTTTCATTAATTTGTTCTCAAGTCATTGTTAGCAACTGTTGGTAACTTAAGTTCTTCCTCTTATTTTTGCATTTTTTCTTAAAACTTTATTAAAGAGGAAATATTTTTTTACTAATAATACTGACAAAAATGGAAATCCAAAGTTCTTGCTGACTCCTTAGCCCTCAAATAAAACAGTGATCTGCAGGTGGCAATTATTACATATACTGTGCCATTATTCATTGTGAGAGAGGTGCTGGGTCACTAATTTAACAAAAAAAAATGGTTTTGTGCTAGCATGATCCATCTTTCCCAATCTGAATAAGCCAAAACATTATTTGCAACTGTAACCAACACACAAGTAGGCAGAGAAGATCTGGCAGAGAGGAATACTCACATGCAAGTTGTCTTATAAGTGTACTAGTAAAAGCGCTTAGAAATTGAGCTGTGGAAAACACAAGCTTGTAAATATACTTCTTGTCTGCTTTCATTATCCATCTAGTACATTTGAACTTTATGGAAGGGCTAGTGTGGCTACTTAATGGAGACATTAATTCAGGAATTTTTTTTATCACTTTTAAATTCTGGGAAAGCTATCAAGTAGCCTAGAGTTGAGAAATTTAGCAGTGACTTTAAACAATTATATGTCAAGATCTACACTGCCTCACAAGGTAGCATGTATCAGAAAAAAAATCATGGCATCCTTGTCAATGTGCTGTTGATCTCTGTCTAATCTGAGGAATAGACATTTGGGAGCTCTGTTTCTGAAGAGCTAACACATTTTGTATTTGAAGTTGTCATGGTTTAACCCAGCAAGCAGCTATACATTAGGCAGCCACTCATTTGCTCCACCTCGCTCCATGATGGGCTGGAGGAGAGAATTGGGAGAGTAAGAGTAAAAGTAAAAGAAGTCGTCTGGTTGAGTTAAAGACTATTTGATAATTAAAATCAACCAAATTAAAATAGTAACAATACTAATGAATTGTAGTAAAAAAATAGGAACAACAATAACAAAGCAATCTAAGTCATACTTTGCTCACAAACAGCTGCCAGTGGCTGCGTATGTGAACAAAAACACAACAAGGGAGAAGTAAGCCTCAGGAACCAAGATGGGCTGCCCTTATGAGCAGAAGAGGGGAAGGGAAGGGAAGGGAAAGGAGAAGGAATTATGAACACATTTAAGCAGAAACAGGAAAACAGACATAATATAAATATCTGGCATTATCGACATAAATCCAAACCAAAGTCTCACAAGTCTCAATATGTTGTTTAATAAAGTTTTTGTTTCCCATGAAAAATTTGCCTTTTATTTACCCAGAAAAAAAACCCACAATTACTTTTTGGCCAACACAATATTTATAAGCATCTGTAAATGTAGTTCATTCTTAGCATACAGCAACATTAGAAAAAAAATGGCCTGAGTCTTGTAACAGAAGCTTTTTGAGGAAAAACATGGTTTCTAAACTAGGGAAGTAAATGCAGGAAGCTAAACTTGTACTTAAAAACAAACTTAAAACCACCTAT